GTCCACTGCCCAGCGAGCCTGGACTCATATATATACAGTTGATTAGCGTCACCATTTAGTCTAATATAAACACGCAGCAATTGTGAGCATGAGCCCCGAGGATCGTCACATCTTCTTCCTGCCTTTCCTTGCGCCAGGGCACATGATCCCGATGTTGACTTGGCTCCTATTTTCGCGGGTCGTGGTGTCAAAGGCAACAATCGTCTTCACAGGCAGCAAAGCTCCTCTCATCTTGCCAACCCTCGATTGCTCTCCTCACTTTCGTCAAGCTGCTCGCTCTCCCGCTCTCCGCGGTCCAAAATCTCATGTGCCTTCCTACTCCTGAACTCACCCAATTTCACTAGCGCTATCAATCCCCTTGAAAACCCTTTTCGGGATCTCCTTAACGAACACCATCCCGATTTTATCATTTCCGATATGTTTTACCCTTGGACATCCAATTTGGGCATAACGAGGCTATTTTTCCACGGAACATGCACAATTGCCACTGTTATAGGCGTTGTTATCCGCACCATGAAGCTCCATGAAGCAGTGGTGGATGACGATGAACCCATCGTCTCATCTGGTATGCCTCATCACATCGAGCTGACTGTTGTGCGCAGCAGAAATTTCGGCAGAGTTTCTGGTGCACAATAAGAGAGAAAGATCGATAAGAATTCTTGTTTCTCAAAGGGAACAAGAATCTGAAAGCCTAATATCCCATCAAAGTGGGATATTTGCTCTTCCTCTCGTCAGCTCTAGGACTGCGCGTCGAGGGATCCTAAAAACTATTACAATGGCCACAAACTCAAACAATCAATTTTTACGTGGTTCGGCAAACTGCCTACGTCCACGGGGCAAGGAGAGGGAGATCTACTATTAAAGAGAAAAAGAATACAATGGGTTTACAACTCTCACAATCTAAACCCTCAAATAGGCTCCTTGCTTTTCTTCACAAGAAAAGGTCAGCCTCCAAATACTTTTTCTCTCTTCACAAAACCCGAGACAGTCCCCACACTCTCTCAGCCGATTTTCTTCCCTCTCTCTGCACTGCGCCTTTCACCAAAAGCCGCTCTTGCATGCCCTGCCGTAGCCACCAAAGAAAAGAAAAGAAACTGCTCACCCTCCTTCGCACTTTCTCCAAAGCCCTAAAACCCTAGGAAAACATCAGGCTATTTATAGCCTCAAACGCCTCAATCGGGTGGACCTAAGAAACCGCTGGACCTTTCACCGCTTCACGCGTTTTCTCTATGCTGCTAGCCTTTCACGCGTTCACATCTTTTCACGTGGTTGCTGCAAATTGCTTCACGCGGAACATGGCCCCCACATCATCTCGTTCCGTGTATTGGTTTGTCTTTTGCCCGCTGAACTTAAACCAAAGTCACATCTCGTTCCGTGTATTGGTTTGTCTTTTGCCCGCTGAACTTAAACCAAAGTCACACCTCTTTGCCCCACGTGCTGAGCCTTTCAACCAATTTGCTGCCTTTCATCCGGTTTTTCACACATGTGGGTGGGCTCCCCCTTCAAACACTTCACACCCTCACGCGGTTCCCAACAATTCTCCACCTCGGCGAAGTTTTTCCCAAAACTGAGCCGACACCAAAGCATCCAACTGTCCCACTTGTTGTGTCCAGTATGCCGTGAAACAATTCACGACAATGGACTCAATCCATAACAAGTAGAGACCCAAACAGGAGTGCGAACACTCTTCCAAACGTCGATGTCTACTCACCAAATCGATCACACCCCCATCAAAATCCAACCCGGCTGCATCATAAACACTGCCTACGTATCCTCTTGCCCAAGGAATCAAGCCGAACGTAGTTCACCCAAATGGCCGCGAACGACCTCAATCCACTAGAAGAGTTCGCAACCCTCCTTCAATATCATCAACTCTGCGGCTGATAGCACCTCCAATGGCCTCAAACACCTCCACCTGAGGCGAACCAATTGCCATATCCAAACTATGTCTGCCAGCTACACTCGATTCAAAACCCAACTCATCATCTGCATCCAAAACCAAATGATCTCCAAGCCGTGTCACCTCAGCTGGAATCCCAAATAATGCAGTATGATCTAGAGTAATCTTCACCCAATGTGGAGTAGCATCACTCTCCACCTGCTGCGATACCTCTAAGGTCTGTCCAAAACTCTCCACCTGCTGAGAGTCAATTGGCTTCCTCATCGAAGCCTCAACCAAAGTGACACTACCAGACCTATCTTCCAATGGAGTGTTACCTCCAATCACAGCAGTTGACAACTCTTTAATAGGATAACCCAAATATGTCGAAGCCTCAGTCCAGAACCTCTTCTGCAAACCATTGCTTGACAACAAACACCGATCCTCCTCCAGCAAGGCACGGTTCTCCAAATTTATCACCCTATTTAGTTGCCCCAAGATTTCCTTTCCAATGAAGTGTCTCGAAATGCCGTGAGCTCGGCTCCAATACAGAAATAGGCAGTGATTTCAAAGGCGGTGTCGGGCGCGCGCCTCAGGCGCAAGGCGGTGCGGCGCGGTGGAATAGCGCCCCGCATGGGGTACGGGGCAAAAAGGGCTGTGAAATTGAGGCTGAAATCCAAGGGGTCTAAACCCCAAGCCCCTGATCAAATTTTGATAAATGCATGTGGAGACCAAATGCAAAATTTGTAGAGGGGCTTTTATGCAAGATTGGCTAAATTCTGCAAAAGGGTTTATTTGCAAAATTTAACCAAAATGGTGGGGTACCGGGGGTGCTAAATGATCAGATATGACGATCATGACCCGAACCGGGTGTGTCCTTGACCTGAATTTTAGCCTTGAACATGAGGGGTATTTTGGTTATTTCACCAAAATTCACCGCGAAAAATGACAATCATTATTTCGCGTGCACGAAATTTGTAGGTTTAACTAGACTTCAATTATGAAATCCTATTTATGTATAGGATTTTAATTAAAGTTCTTAATTTCCCTTTTAAATTTCGTGTATTCATATTTTAGATTGTGCCTGACTTGCTGCTTTTCGTTGTAGATTTCAATGTCTCCACGCCGATCTCGACCTCGTAGGAGTCGTTCTCATTCACAGCATAGTGAGGAAGAGGTTCCTGCGACGTCTTCTCCCGCGGCCTCATTCTTCGGGGGTGAGGATTTATGCAGATTTTTTCTTCTTGCACCCCTGATTGACCTCTTTGCGGGTCATGAAGGAAGAACCGACACCCTCCTTCGCGGGGGTTAAGGTTTCAGTCTTGTCTTGCTTAGCCAATTCAAGTCTTCCGGTATATTGGGGCGATTTTGTGTCGTCCTACACCTTATAGTTCGGTGTATGTTACCACGTTATTCACGTGATGATGCATACCGTTCTTCCAGTGTAGGACACTCAAAATCGTCTCTCCAATTATTCCGTGAATGAGCTTATCATTCTTCTTACGAGATGGATTTTCTGACTCCACCCTTGTGCTTTATTGCAGTGGAGTTTCCTGCGGGCAGCCTTCCTCCTCATGCCAATACCGGTTGTAGCCGGGAGGTCTTCTCTTCAGCTTCCCTTAGGCAGGCCGTTAGTCCACTTCCTCGGTTTGACAGAGATCGCTCAGACGAATCTTGTCATTTGATACGGGAAGGAGGGCGTCATTGCCTGCGCCAGCTTATTACAGATGCCTCCTTTACCGCGGATTCTACCTCCACTCAGGCTTTAAAGAAGCCGAGCTTCCTGTTTGGAGACCATGTCGAGGATCCTGCTACGTTGACCCTTGGCGAGGAGCACTGGCTGACTCTCGACGAGGGAGCTTGTTTGTACATTCCCTCCATTCCACGCCAATATTCTTTCAGTCACTTGAAGGGGCAGGCCGTGGAGCGACAGATGTCTTGGCATCTTACTGAAGATGCTGATCGAGTTCAGTGTGGATATGCCACTCACCACAAGACTCCTGGCTCTAACGGGTATCATGACGTTCGTGGTCTTCGACCCGGGATTATGGGCCTTGACACTGCACCTCCAGGCGAGGTCTCAGCAGCTGCCCCTACTGTGAGTAACCGTCTGGCTCTTTTGGGGAGACGGTTACCTCTACCAGAATACAGATGCTATGGGGGCCTCCTCTCACTAGCCAAAGGGTGGTGGGCGCGCATGACTGATTTCGTCTTGGCGCGCTGGGAGAGGGATCTGAAGAGCAGTGGGTTGTACGCGCCCATACGAGCTACTATGTACGGAATCCCAGTCAGCTGTCGCCATTTCTTGGCTTTGCTGGAGACCTACATGCCTGACAGCAACACCTTTCTGACCAGCGGTGGTGAGTTAGGGTTGGCCTTGCATGAGATGCATCATGTTTCGGGTCTTCCGATGGGGGATTGTCCGTATCAGGAGTATTTCCCCTCGAACCAGCAGCTGGAGTGTATGAAGAAAGATACTCCCGACATGTATGACACTCTCTGGGATCTTACTTGTCATTATCATACCTCCTTAGTCCAGACTTCTCCTCAATCGAAGAGGAAGAGGCAGGTCAGCTTGAAGCAGTTTGCTTGCTATTTGTTCCAGAACTTGGAGGGTAACTCCGACGAGTCAGTGCGTCCATTCGTGAATTAGACGTGTTGACCCCTTCCGCCGTTAATGAGTTTTTGGAGAAGGCTGAGGCTCGTTCCTACACCATCGGCAGTGCTGAGGGAGCTTTTCCCGCGGGGACCAAGTTTCGCTCTTTTCTCCACCGCACACAGAAGTCCATTGTAGGCATCAAAAACTGCCTATAGGTCTCCACAAACGGTTCAGTGTTAAAAGAGCGACGATGAACGTCACTATCCGAGCTACATGAGTCCAATTGACGTCGACGAACGACTGAAGCGAATCGACGAACTACGTGAGCTTATAGGATTTCGGAACAACCAAGACCCGGACCAATCGGGAACCCGGCACTGTTCACAAAAAGGACAACGCCCTTCATGCCTCGACCACTCTACAGATAATCCAACCACCAGAGTGGATCGAACTCTTCGTCAAGCATCCAACGCACCCGGAATCGCTCAAATCCGAGTTCGGACGAAGAATCGAAGAATCTACGGGGAAACAAACGAAATACACCTAAACGGAGTCCCGACACGCCAAAATACCCCGGGGGTGTCTAGGAAAAGCCTAGACACCCCAGGGGTGTCTCGGCCTTGGCCGAGACACCCTAGGGTGTCTCGGCCATGGCCGAGACACCCCAAGGGTGTCAGGCGATGGATAGAGCTAAGGAGACTATTGCTAAAACCTTTGGTGATGATCTTTCAAAATATTCTGAAGTATTTGATATCATTGATAAGAGGTGGCAGGATCAGCTTCATCGGCCTTTGCATGCTGCAGGATATTACCTTAATCCTGCATTTTTCTATGACCATCCAAACATCCAAGGGGATGACGAAGTGATGAGAGGTCTTTATCAAGTCATTGAGAAGATGGTGCCCACACAAGACCAAGACAAGGTTGATAGGCAGTTGGATATATACAGGCATGTTGGGGGTCTTTTTGGTATGGAGATAGCTAAGAGAAATAGAAAGAAGAAGTCTCCAGGTAAATATGCATAATATAAACTCTCAATTGACTAGATTTTTTATAAGAAATACACTACTAATCACAGTCTATTTAAATTGACAGCTGATTGGTGGGAGTCTTATGGTGCATCAGCACCAGAGTTGCAGAAGCTTGCTGTTAGAGTCCTCAGCCTTACTTGTAGCTCCTCCGGCTGTGAAAGAAATTGGAGTACTTTTGAGCAAGTATGATTAGTTTTATTTTATTGAACAAAATAGATTTAATTCCCTTAGAGATATGGATATTGATTTGTATAAATTACAGATACACACCAAGAAGAGGAATAAATTGGATCATAAGAGGCTACAAGATCTAGTTTACTGCAAGTACAACCAAGCTTTGAAGGAGAGATATGACTGCAGAGATTCTATTGATCCGATTAAGTTGGCTGATATAGATGAAAGCAATGAATGGTTGTTAGGGAAGTTCGGTGAAGGTGAGAATGCAGAGAATGACTTAGTGGAGGGCGAGGACAATCTTACATATGGTGTCATAGGAGATGCGATGGGAGCTGAAGAAGATGATTCTATGTATCTAAGATCGACTAATAGGTTTCGAGGGTCTTCGAGTGGTATTGGTTCTTCGTCGAGGAGGAGGGAGCCAGTTTCTGAGTCAGAAGATGAAGAGGAGTTTAATGATGAGGAGGAGACTGAAGATGAGGATATACCCTTAGAAGGGGATGATGATGATGTTAATGAGGATGATTAGAATCATTAGGCTATTATTTTGCTACTTATTTACTTTGTTTAATTAGATTGCTTGTTTTGCTTTGATGTTAGTGAACTTTGGAAGTGTTCTAGTTGCTTAGTTTTTTTGTTTTGATGGACATCTTGATTTGCTTTAATGATTAAAACTTTATCTTGTGATCCGGTAGTATATATTTTATCTTGAGTCCTTGACATTTTCATGTGAAATTTCACAAATATTTATTTTTTTCATGCATCTTGTATAGTTGTATATCTTCAAAAATTTTATGGTCTAGAGTGCGCCTCGCTTCGCTCGGGCGCGCGCATCGCATTGCGCCTTGCGCATGTACGCGTAAACTGACTTTGCGCCCCGCATTGCGCCTCGCGCATTGAAAACACTGGAAATAGGTCCATCTTGTACCTCCCACCAGAATGGAGTACTTTCACCTTTCTGTCTATTACACACTTCTTTAATCTGTTAGAGACTACTAGGACTTTCTCCAATGGGGATTTGGTTGCAACCCAAACACGCCTAGTACAGCCACCAACAAAGGAAACCAAACGCCTATTACCTCCCAATGATGCCCCCTTGGAAGGCCCCCAAACAGCCACGTGAACTCCTCCAGAACGACCCTTAGCACGGTGAATAGAGGTGCCACATTTCACCTCGGTCTTCTTGCTCACATCAACATGTTCACTGGACTTCAAACTGCAGGTCTTCGCACCCCCTTTCAATCTATGCGAGGAATCAATACTGGAATGGCCAAGCCCCAAATGCCGCAGTCTAGTCGAATCAGCAGAAGTCGTCAGCTCTCCACCTGCCACTATACCTCCAGTCAAGTAATACAAGTTATTTCTCCTGACACCCTTCATCAAAATACGAGAATCTCTCGCAATCTCGAGAACCATGTCCTCAACACGAACCTTCAGACCCTCTCCAACCAAAGCTCCAATCGAGATCAAGTTCTTCCTCAAAGAAGGAACATATCTCACATCATTTAACTCCCTAACAGTCCCGTCAAACATTGGCATGCACGGTTATCAGCCATGTACACCACACCACTATCCACCAGCTTCTCAAAACTGGAGAACCATTCCCTTCTAGGGCACACATGATAGGTCGCACCACTATCCAACATCCATTTAGATTCCTCCGAATAGTTATCTGTAGGACTGATAGAAAGCGAATAAATAGAAGAGTCAGAATTATTATCATCCGATACGATATTTGCTTCTGATGATGGCTGCTTCCCTTTTCCCTTCTGCTTATTCTTCATCCATTCGTTAAGCTTTGGGCAGTCTTTCTTCCAATGACCAGTCTCCTTGCACCAAGCACACTGATCTTTTCCTACTCTAGACTGTGACTTCCAATTCTTTCGGTTTGGATTCTTTCCTCTTGCGACCAACGCCTCTGCTACCGACTCAGTCGAATTCTCCTTATCCTTCTTCCGAAGCTGATAATTCACCAGTGCAGCAGTGACCTCACTATACGAAAGAGATGTCTTCCCATTAATCAGAGTAAGGACGAAGGTCTCATATTCCTCGTCGGGCAAGGAACTCAACAACAGCAACGCCTTGTCCTCATCTTCAATCACGACATCCACATTCGCCAAATCCGCAAGAAGCTTAGTGTAGTGGTTCATGTGATCTCTAATGGACGTTTCCTTCTTCAATTGGAAACGATAAAGTCTCCTCTTCAAATGCAAGCGATTTTCCACACTCTTGGTCAAATACTTGCTTTCGAGAATCTCCCAAATCTTCTTTGCAGAAGTCTCATTCATCACATCATATTTTAGATCTTGAGTCAAACAAGATCTAATCACACCACACGCCGTTCGATTCATCTTTTTCCAAACCTTCTCTTCAATCTCATCTGGCTTGCCATCTAACTCCAATGTATCCTCCAAATTCTGCGCGTTCAGCGCATCCAAAACCTCGCATCTCCATAATCCAAAGTTGTTTGTGCCATTAAATTTCTCCACATCTATCTTCATAGAGTGGATATTCAAACTCTGAATGGTCTTCGCGCCAGAAGCACCACCCTCGACACCCGAAGCACCTTCTTTCCCCGACATCTTACGCACCAACGAACAAAGAATAGATCCAAAACTGAAAGATAGAGTCTTTACCAAAAGATCCCACCTTTATCACCAACGAAGCCTAATATCCCATCAAAGTGGGATATTAGCTCTTCCTCTCGTCAGCTCTAGGACTGCGCGTCGAGGGATCCTAAAAACTATTACAATGGCCACAAACTCAAACAACCAATTTTACGTGGTTCGGCAAACTGCCTACGTCCACGGGGCAAGAAGGGGGAGATCTACTATTAAAGAGAAAAAGAATACAATGAGTTTACAACTCTCACAATCTAAACCCTCAAATAGGCTCCATGCTTTTCTTCACAAGAAAATGTCAGCCTCCAAATACTTTTTCTCTCTTCACAAAACCCGAGACAGTTCCCACACTCTCTCAGCCGATTTTCTTCCCTCTCTGCACTGCGCCTTTCACCAAAAGCCGCTCTTGCATGCCCTGCCGCAGCCACCAAAGAAAAGAAAAGAAACTGCTCACCCTCCTTCGCACTTTCTCCAAAGCCCTAAAACCCTAGGAAAACATCAGGCTATTTATAGCCTCAAACGCCTCAATCGGGTGGACCTAAGAAACCGCTGGACCTTTCACCAACATCAGGCTATTTATAGCCTCAAACGCCTCAATCGGGTGGACCTAAGAAACCGCTGGACCTTTCACCACTTCACGCGTTTTCTCTTTGCTGCTAGCCTTTCACGCGTTCACATCTTTTCACGTGGTTGCTGCAAATTGCTTCACGCGGAACGTGGCCCCCACATCATCTCGTTCCGTGTATTGGTTTGTCTTTTGCCCGCTGAACTTAAACCAAAGTCACACCTCTTTGCCCCACTTGCTGAGCCTTTCAACCAATTTGCTGCCTTTCATCCGGTTTTTCACACATGTGGGTGGGCTCCCCCTTCAAACACTTCACACCCTCACGCGGTTCCCAACACTGACAAGGTCGCAACTTGAGGATACCATGGCTAATAAGCCAAGTGGCTTCGACTTATGGATAACTAAATGAATCTTTTGGCAAAAGCTGTGGCATGATAAAGAACACTTTCTATGAGTTTGAATCTGATTACATCAAAATGATGCCAGTGAAGGTGTGGCATGTCGGCCCTGTTTCACTCCGTAACCGAGACGCAGATGATAAGGTAGTGAGGGGAGGTGAATCAGGAGAAAACCTCATCAAGCATTGCTTGAACTGGCTTGATGGTGAGAAGCCAGGCTCTGTTCTTTATGTATGTTTCGGAAGCTTAAGCAGGTTCACTTGTTCACAGCTTCGTGAGATCGCCCTAGGAGTTGAAACTTCGGGCTATTCATTCATTTTGGCCATAGAGAATTGTGGCGATAAGGCCGAGCGGATGCCTGAAAAGTTCGAAAAGAGAGTCTAGTGTTTGATCATTACAGGATGGGCACCGCAAACTCTGGTACTGAATGATAAATCGGTCGGAGGATTCATGACTCAGTTGTGGGTGGAGTCCATGCTCGGAGGAAGCGAGTGCTGGATTGCCGTCGATTACATGGCCTCTGTTTGCAGAGCAGATCTACGACAATGAGAAGTCATTAGTAAATGTGCTCAGGATTGGGGTTTCGGTTGGTGTGTAAGGGGTGCAGTAACAACGAGAAGGGGAGGGATTTGATGTAGAATTGGAGGCGAAGGCGACGAAGCTTAGGAAAATTGAAGCAGAAAATATTTTGGATGCTTCACGGTCGACCGCGAGTGGCGCTACGGTCGACCACGAACGTGCACAAGCACATGAAAGTCTCTGGACTTTTTGCGGTCGACCGTGAGTGGCGCGGCGGGCGACCGCGAGACCCTGTAGTGCATTTTTATTTTTGTCGTTTGCCACGGTCGACCGCGACTGACGCGGCGGTCGACTGCGATGCGGTTTTGGGCCTGAGCTTGGTTTCCTGCACTGTTTGGGTTTTTTATTTGATATAAATAGAAACACGATTTGTTTAGGGTTTACAATTGTTCCAATTGTCAGAATTGGATTTTGGGGTAGCATTGAGGGGAGATTTTGAGCACAAAAAAGAGAGTGTTTCTGAGCAATTTGTTTGAGGGTTTTGTGAGAGATTTGAGAGTTTAGTTTGAGAGATTATTTGTGAGCTTTTGAGTGATCTTGTAATCTCAGTTTGTATTCTCTCTTTCTCTAAAGTGAAAACTCATCCCCTTCTTGCCCCGTGGACGTAGATAATTTGCCGAACCATGTTAAACTTTTATGTTTGAGTTTGTACCATTATTAGTTGATTTGTGTGCTTCTCTCTCGGTAAATTTGTGAATCCTCAGTACACACTGTCACGCGCACCACCCCAACATTTGGTGAAATCCGAAGAGGTGAAGGAGGCTGTGGGTGAGCTGATATGTAGCGGAAAAGGCAATGGAAGAAGGTGGTTCTTCTTATAATGAGATGATAGGCTGATACTAAGAGCTGATGGGCGTTAAAGCTGGTACGTTTGATGGAAGCAAGAGTTTGGCGGTGGATAAGTTGAGTTTAAAGAGTTAATTCTGGGATAAAGATCCTCTACATTCTACAATATTAGGGAGCGCCTAAAATTACTTACGTGGATCAATGACATTGATTCATCCAATGAGCTTCATCACTAAAAGAATTTTTATATAATTTTCTTAATTAACGCTACGTACTAACGAGGTTTACAGAATGGGGAGAGGTCTATCTTAGACCTTGCAGTTTGAATATTGTATTTGAATTATTTGATCCTTTTTATATTGTAATCCAACAATCTTGTAGTTGGATCTTCTTCATTTCGTAATAATCTTATAAAAGCGCTATTATGGACTAGAGCTGGTCACTTCGATGTTATGATAAAATAAAATAAAAAAGGAGAGAGAATTGGTCACCTTGATATAACTTTATGTAGCCTACTTGATATTGTTACTGTTGGGGATTTTAATCCCTGCGTACTATAATCTCGGCAACTCGGAAGCCAACTTACAATCAATAAGATAGAAAACAACCACAATTAAGAAGAAGGAACACCGGGATTTACATGGTTCGGTCGACCAACTTTGGCCTACATCTACGGGGTAACAATACGAAAAATCCACTATGTATCAGAGAGAACTACAAGAGGAACCACTCAACTCTCGTCTCTCAAACTCTCAACCTCACAGACATAACCAACTTTCATATTCTCCCCAAGACACACTTCTTACAATCTTTTGAATGGACAAAGACTGCGAAATCCTCTCCCAATATTGTAATTTTTTTGCACGGATAAAAGATGACGAAACTCTCGCCTCTTGCATAATATTTTTGATTCAGGCTACGCCATCTGTTAACCCTATATGAATATTGA